TTTTATGCTTTCAATTTTTTTATTCCCTATTTGATTTTTGCAGGGGATACAGTGTTACGTTTGCAAGAGTTTTGGCCATCTTTGCTGTGCTGACTATCCTGACAATGGTCCAAGTGAAGTTTCCTGTTACCGATGTGGTTCATTGGGGCATACTGGTTTGGTTAGTATCTTTAATATGATTACTTTGGCACTCAAATTACTATATAGTATACTACTGCAATTGCAGTTACATTCTGCAAACAAAATGTTGTCTTGGAAATGCTGTAGATGATGATAAGTAAATTGAATTTGTGTTTGCATTTGTATGTTCATATGCTGCTTACATTTGATGAGATGGCCTCTGCAAGGCTTCTACCTGCACTCAATGAGTTTAGCTTGTGAATGACTTTTAATGTTTTGTGTTGAGCTGTTGAAGTGTGTAATTTGTTTTACATGTTTGTCTTATTAATTTGTCAAGTATCGCGTATGGAGCTTAGCAAGGCCATTATTCCACAATCTACTTAAGTATCTATGCATGTGTTTTTAGATATTTGGCTAATCAAGGAGGCCTGCCCCCTATGTTGGTACATAGGATGAGTTTCATATTTGTTCTAATTGCATTCTTTTCAAAATGCAGGCCTGCACTGGATCTTATGGGGAGACTAGTGGTGTGGGGTCACTGAATACTTGTTACAGATGCGGTGAAGATGGACATTTTGCACGCGAGTGCACTATTCCCAAGGTATTTTCTGGTTCTTTTCTCCATTCTAATTTTGCTAGGTTAGTGGTGATATCTGAATTAATTTTTTGCTTGTTTTAAGGGTAAAAAAAGGAGTCGAGAATTATCAACCCCCAAGAAGAAAGTATCCAAAGTGAAGAAAGAACATAAGGAATCCTGGTCTATGCCCAGTGATTTTGTTAAGACGCGGAGGAATAAAGCAAAATATGAAGGTGACTATACATCAGGGTACAAAACAAAACGAAGGGGAGGTTGGATCATGGATGACCCGGAAGACTACTCAGAACCCAAAGGATTTGCAAGTCCTGTAACTCCAAGTAGTAAGAGATCTTGGAAGTACAATGGAAATGCTTCCAGTCCTTGGTCGTCCTCAAGAAAGTCCCATAAGCTTAACTATAGTCATTCATCTTCTAGTGCTTCAGCCAAAGGCATCCACCATAGGTTTTCTGCCTCCCGATTTGGCAACAGTAGTCATGGTGGGACAAGAAACCATGATTGGTAGCAGAATGCCTGTTCCTCTTGGTAAACCATAAATGGGCAGGCTGTTGCATATGCACTCTGGGGTGGGGGGTTGGTATCTGAATGATCAATGGTATTTTTGAGTTTGCATGTTGACTCGTAAGAGTTGGGTGAAAGACCGTATGCACCCGGTGTGCCGATTACATTTCACAAGATTTAGTCACGTCTTGTAGCCCGTGTTGTTTATGCTGGCGATTGTAACTTATAGGGTACCCTTATGTTTTCCCTTGCAAAAGAAGGATCTTCTGTGTTCCTTTTGTTTTAATTTTTTCATATGTTATAGTCATACATGAACCATTGTAATCTGCGGGAGTTCGCTTGCAGTAATGGAAAATTATTTTCTTCTTTTGCCTAATTTTAGGATATGATGATGGGATGTTGCAACTTTACCAATCACGTTTCTGCCACTTGGTTCACCTTTGACATTTTCGACAGGACAATGTTTTTTAGACTACAGGTGTCTTCGTGAGAGTTGCTGTTGTGGTCTATTGCTCTAATCATGAGTCATTGGTGTGGTCTATCGGTTTAATTAATTTTCAAAGTCTTAAATAAAGGTTATCAGAACTTGTAATTTATGCCTCTCCATAACATGTTAATTATTAATGTTACTCTTAAATTATTTGTGGTGTAAATGTTGCCCCGCCATTTTCAAAACGGTACATATATCGTCCTCCTATATTGTAAATGTTGCCCCTTATTTTCCAAACAGTACATATATCGCCCTTCTCGTGCGATACGGGAGGGGCAATATATGTACCATTTTGAAAATTGAGGGGCAATATTTACACCACTAACAATTCAAGGGTGACATTGATAATTGACATATTATGGAGGGGCATAAATTACAATATTCCCAACAATGTCTTTTTTTTTTTTTTTTTTTTTTTGGCAATTAGTAATAGATAATGTATACTTTTTGGTGGGTGTTGTGGTACAATTGTTATACCATGGATTAGAGTTCATATTGTATTGTGAATCCTAGTTCAAAAATTATGTGTTAACACATTCTGTACGACTGTACCTGCTGTCAATAATTTTTGTACCAGTAAACAAATTTAAGGCATAAACATATTTTGTATCTGCAGTTAACATATTTTGTACATGCAAGGTAGAACATCGTCTATGGTATACATATTTTCAAATTCTACTCTCTTAATTCTACTTCCTGATGTGACAAACAATGATTGATTATTTTATCATGTGGTTTACATAAAGGTGTCTACATCAAGAACTCGTGAGGAGGAAGTAAAAGTTGGATTTGCGAGCATAAAATGAGAATCCACCAAATATTTTCTTTGTTTATTTTTAAATAAGTAGAGTGTTTCAACCTAAGTATATATGTTAATGATTTAATTCTCAAATTCGAGTACGAAAATGTCAGAATTATTACAAATTAACTTGTAAAAGTGTGTCGAGTAATTTAAAGATGTGATCAATGACATCTCTGTGACTCTTTCAAATGGAAAATCATAGGTTAGAATATTAGTGGTGGTTGACTCTCTGTATTTTAATATATCAAAAAAGTATATACAAACAACTACTTACATTTATTAGTACTAAAAAAAAAATCCTGAAAGAAAATATATTTGTTGAATATAATAATGTTGATATACAAAATGAAGAATTCATTAAAAATGTCAACGATATCATGATATCTACTCACACAACGAAGACTTAAATGCATCCCCACCTGAAAAACCTGATAAAGGTCACGCGTCATGCATAGGAAATCATATCCAAAAATTCATGCGGAACTAAATAATAATAATAATAATAATAATAATAATAATAATATAATAATAATAATAATAATAATAATAATAATAATAAATAAATAAATAAATAAATAGATAAATAAATAAAATAGAAAAATATCTACTCATAGATATTTTCATACTACGATTGTTATCTTTATCTTAAATACTCATATATACCATCCTAACATAAACATTAATTATACCGTTTGTCTTTAAAAAATGTAAAATTGATTCATAAATTATTAAAAGTGTAAGATTAATTTGTTGTGACATTTCTAGTCCATATGGATGGAAATGTTTAATAATACTATTTTTTTGGTTGCTCAAAGGTATCTCTCTAGCCGATAGCCAAAAGATTAATTCCGCGTCCCTACGGTCAGCACACTAAGTGGTATTAGAAGGCTAAATATGCAACTTTAAAGTTAAATTCTACTAGAACTAGTTGATATTATACCGGCAGAGTAAAAGATAATTAAGTAACAAGAAAAAAAAACATTTTTTGTTGTTCAAAGTGAAAGAATTATCTCTTTTAAACCTTTAATGTTGTTCGGATTCTTGCACTTTTTTGGTTGAAAACGAAGTAGGTCAATCTAAATATTTTGTAGGAGGAAAGAGTATTCAAATGACCAAAAAGATCCTACCAAATTAGGGTTTATGCCTTTTTGTTTTTGTTAGCATGTTACTTCGTAATATTTTTCATCTGAACAAGACTAAGGGGTGTTTGGTAGGATAGAATTGTAATTTCATTACTACCAAATTTTTCATGGAAAAAAATTCCATTATTTGATTGGAGGGAATTGCAATTTCACAGGCCGTGGATATGGAATTCCACAGTAAATTACGATTTTGTTATAAAAACAACAACAACAACAACAATAATAATAATAATAATAATAATATAAGAGTATTTTAGTCTTTATTTACTTCTTTCCTTTCCCTTCATAACAATTCTATTTCTGTCTACAAAACAATGAAATTTGAATTCCAACTTATTCTTTTCCCATATAATTATAAATCCTTTCACTCTTAATTGCCTTCTTCTAACCAAATGCCCCGTAAAAGCGTCACTTTCACAAAAATCGATGAACTAAATTTATGCCACTAATAACTTATGGACCAATTTTTACATTACAAGAATAACTTAATAAGTACAAATATCATTTCCCTCTAAGTGAATTAAAAGATGAAAAATATTATATTGTCATAATATATTTTCTAAGAATAAATTTAATTAGAAAATAATGAATACGTTGACATATTTTGTTTACTCTTTATTTCATTAACTTTTATAGCTATTATATAAAGTGTAATTATAATAAATTGATACATACACAATAAATTCATCAATGTGACTAAATATCACAAAAAGATTTCTTCCGATAAGTCTTGAGCTCTAAGTCTCTAATTAAAAAGGTGTTGATGTCTCACCTCAACGAGTAAGTTGATTGCCATTGAACACATACAATTTTAAGAATTTCTAAAAAATATTATATTTAAATTTAATTGTATCTCAAACAATATAAAAAAAATTATATTTCATTAGCTTTTTACTAAAATAGCCGTGCTTGCATTTTTCCATGGAAAGAACTTCATTACCTTATCACACAATTAATTTTCTTCAAATATCTCGTAGAACTAACTTAAGTGGTAGACTAAAGACAGAGAAAATTTAATGTATAAAAAATAATTTTCTTCAAATTTTCTTTTTATTATTTATTATTTTAAATTATTTTCCTTGTTTTGTGTCCCAACCAAAAAGACAAGGATGACATAAAAAGACTATTGGCTTTGGACTCACCAAAAGTGCCAACACATTTTTCTCCCTTACGAATCCGCACCGCCAAAATTATAATAAAAATAATATATTATTATTATTATTATTATTATTATTATTATTATTATTATTATTATTATTATTATTATTATATAATATTTTGTAAAAATTTTTATTTTAACATTTGCCTTCATTTATTTATGACATAGAACAGTGCTTGTGTAACTTCCATTAATGTCTTCTTTCGTTGCGTCTCTTCTCTGTCTGTTTATATCCTAAATAGTCTAAAGTGTCAATTATTATTAGGAGATGAGAAGAGTTGAACAGACTCTTGGACCCCAACACTTGTAAAAGGGTAACACCTCTTTCCTCTGCAGCATAGCTAATTTTTTTTTTTTCCCCATCAATTTTAATTCTTCTTTTTCTTGACTAAAGCTGAGATCTTTGTAAGTTTTCCTCTTTAATGATTTCTTATTCTTTTCCCCCATTTTTTTTTCTTTCTGTAATTGGGTTGTTTGGATTTTGAGTGACCCCGGATTGATTGAGCTTTAGCTTAATAGCTTTCCAAGATTTTTGTGGTGTTTCTTGGCGTGGTGGGATAGGGATTGATTTTGGAATTGGTTGCTGAATCCAAATATAGAAACCCCAGCTGCTGCTTTTACTGTATCATTTGATTTTTTTTTTTTTGTGGGTATGTTTGGTAAAAATTTATGTCTTTGAATTTTGGGAGATATGAGTGTTACTATATGGGATTGGTGAGATGAGGCTATAGTGTTCAATCCATCCCATATGTGATATGCCTGTAATCATCTAAACCAGAAGAGAGGTGAAGAAGCTGTGTTGTGTAGTGCTTGCTGGTTTTAAGCAGGATCTTGTGGAGTGGGTCCAGACCATTGTGAGTGAATTTTTCTAGATCTAGGAAGGTGTATGAGGTTGCTTGGATTTAATTGTGGGAAAAAAAGGTGGTTTGTTTTGTCAGGGTTGGACAAAAACTCTTGTCTTTCTGTTTGTGTTTTGTAAATCTGAACTACTTTTGATGATTATTAGTGTTTGGTCACGGATTTAATAATTATGTGTTTGCCCTTTTCTCATTACTTTTAGTTGAATTCCATGTGTTTGCTGTGATCTTCACATGTTTATCTATCGCTTTCTCTTTGATTGGATTGTAACGGGGTTCTTAATAACACTGGTGTACTCTTGTTTTGTTCATATGAACATTTTTATTGATCTTTTTGGTGCATATGTATGTTCAGGCAGGTGCATAATTTCAATCGGGATTTGGTGAATCATCCGAGAATAAACAGGATAGGTGTGGTGGGAATAGTTGTGTGGAGCAATTTGGGGTTGGATTGGTGCAGATTGTGGAGAAGATGATGTTTGACGAGATGGGGTTTTGTGGTGATTTTGATTTGTTTTCGGGTCCAATGAAGGAGTGTGGTGTTGATAGTGAGCAGCCGGTGGTGGATGATGATTATAGTGATGAGGAGGAGGATATTGATGTGGATGAATTGGAGAGGAGGATATGGAGGGACAAGATGAAGCTAAAGAGAGTGAAAGAGAATCGGAAGTCGAAGGAGGGAGGTGTTGATGGAGGGAAACAACGGCAGTCGGTAGAACAGGCGAGGAGGAAGAAGATGTCCCGAGCCCAGGATGGGATCTTAAAGTACATGTTGAAAATGATGGAAGTGTGTAAAGCTGAGGGTTTCGTTTACGGGATCATCCCGGAGAAAGGCAAGCCAGTGAGCGGGGCGTCTGACAATCTGAGGGAGTGGTGGAAGGATAAAGTGAGGTTCGATCGAAATGGTCCAGCCGCGATAGCTAAGTACGAGGTGGAGAATGCAATCCCGGGGGCAATCCCGGAGGGGGGCAGTGGTAATCAAGTTGGTCCTCCTCATAGTTTGCAGGAGCTTCAAGACACCACCCTCGGTTCACTCTTGTCAGCTCTGATGCAGCATTGTGACCCCCCTCAGAGACGGTTCCCGTTGGAGAAAGGCGTTCCACCGCCATGGTGGCCCACGGGAAACGAGGACTGGTGGTCACACAAGGACGTAGCCCCCCCGCCTTATAAGAAGCCTCACGATCTCAAAAAGGCGTGGAAGGTTGGTGTCCTCACTGCAGTCATCAAGCACATGTTCCCCGATATTGCCAAGATTCGCAAACTCGTGAGGCAGTCCAAGTGCTTGCAAGACAAGATGACCGCCAAGGAAAGTGCAACTTGGCTCGCCATCATTAACCAAGAGGAAGCTCTGGCTCGGGAGCTTTACCCCGATCGCCCTTTTTCCTCGGCTAGTGGGAGTGGCATATTCACCGTGCCCGATAGCACCGAGTATGATGTCGATGTCGACCACGACGAGGCTTGCTTTGATGTTCAAGAACAAAAACCCAAACATCTCAATTTCTTCCATATGGGTGGTGTTGAGAGGTTCCAAGACACAATGGCAGTGCCACAACATAACCACGAAATCATTTCCAACTTCGATTTCACAAGGAAGAGGAAGCCAGACAACGAGCCCCCCCGCCCCTATACTTGCGAGTTTCCTCGATGTCCTCACAGCGAGCTGGGCCTCGGTTTTCAGGACAGAACATCCCGAGACAACCATCACTTAACTTGCCCTCATAGGACGACGAATTCCCCTCCTCGATTCGGAGTTTCTAATTTCCACATCAACCAACCTTTTGTGCAACAACCCAATCTTACTTCCTTTGATCTATCCGGTCTCGGGGGAGTCCCAGAAGACGGGCAAAGGATGATCAGTGATCTTATGACATTCTACGAGACCAACTTACACCGCAACAAAAACATTCAGTGTCAAAACCACAGTATAATGGAGGCCAACATCTTCGAGGATAGTAACATTCCCATGACCCGTTGTTCCTCCGTGTTTGATCAGTGCAATGTCAACTCTTTCCCCTTCACGTTCGGGTCTCCATTCAACCTACAAAACATCGACTACGCTGAGGGCGCTGCACAGGATTCCATGCCAAAGAAAGATGTCTGGTACTAGCAATAACACTCGAGAGTTTTCGCTTCTTTTGCTCTATTATGGATCAAGCAATTGCACATATTGGATCAATTTGTCTGCATTATTATAGCATTTCCTTTACCATAAAGTTGTAGAAGTGAAGGGCTATATGACTGGTGTTGTATCAAACCAGTTATTTATTATGCTTTTGTAGTCATCAATTCATCATCTCCAAAGATATTGCCACGCTCATCAAAGAACTTGTAGATGTTTCATAAATAAACTGCGTTTACTTCAATTCGCCTGCCCGCCTTCCATTCTCCATAAGGCATCCCAGTCCGACACAGCATGTGAGAAGATGTAAATCACCATAACTCAGTGGCCAAATGTCGGTGCGCGGATCTGTCCACTTTGGACATAATTCCCACACTGTCGTTGTCGAGTTTCGAGCCTTGATCTCTTCTATTAAATACGTACTGCCTGTTGAGCAAATGAGCTAAGCCTGTGTGGGCTCCATTCTCTTTTCGTAGTTAGAGAAATGTACAAGAAAATACATTTCTTGCTTTACTTTCCCCAATTTTTCATTGTTCCTATAAGTAAAAGCACATTTGATGGGCTGTTTGGTTCACGGAATCTGTTTGGAATGACATAACATTCTCAGTAATGGATATATTTCTCTGTTTGGTAACCACTTGTATTCTCAAGAACAATATCCCAGGAACATTGTTCCTGAGAATGACCTATTCTCCTTGCAAGGGGAATAGAGATTCCTTGGGGGCGCTTCGTATTTGGCTATTATTGAGTTCTCAGGAATAGCCTAAAGTTTCTATTCTCTATTTTACCCCAATTAAATTTATTTCCTATTTCACTAATAACAACATCACCGCCGCCACTGCCTCACCACCACCGCCGCCCCCGGTCGCCAATACCACTGCCACCACCACCATATTTCATTTCTATTTCTTAAATCAACCATCAACCAAACAGTGTAATATAATTCATAAAGTCTATTCCTTCTGCGAACCAAACAATATAATACAATTCATATTTTATTCCTTGTCTATTCCATTTCTTATGGAATAACATTCCTATGACCTCAAAATTCATTCCGTGAATCAAACGTGTGAGAAAAGTATTGGTGTGCAATACCTTTTGCTCGAAAATGTTAAAAAGTTGCAAATGATTGCATGCCTTTTTGGGTGCCATTTTATATTATATGCTTCTAAGGGAATTGTGTGCTTAATTGCCTTCAATGGTAAATAAAGTTACTTTCAATACTGCAAGAGATTTGGCCGGTCACAGTCTAAAATATTAATTATTTTATATATTTAATGAATGTGATTATTACTTTTTGAAAATACTTATTATTATTATTATTATTATTATTATTATTATTATTATTATTATTATTATTATTATTATTATTATTATTATTATAATTTCGAATGAGGGGAACCTTGGTATGACATGTACATCAGTACATGTACTGTTTGAACATTGTGAATTGACAATCCAATTATTAATATAATGAGTGGAAGTCAGTTTGTTGATGATATATATATATATATATATTCTTTATTATATATGTTATTTTAATTGCTTGAAGAAGCAAAAAAGTAACATGTGAAGTTAGCTGTATGGTTAGGTATTGTTAAAGAATTCAATTCCGAGATATAATAATTGTCGTAGTTGACAATATATATATCAAGAAATGCCTTCCAAGTCATCCCAACTCCTCAAATCAGAAATTGAATAAGAAATTGTTTGACTTCAACACCATATTAGTTACATTATCTATGACTAAAAAAAAAAGAAAAAAACCCTTAATTTTTTGTTTTTTTTTTTGGCCTGTCCAAGCTATTTGAATGAGTTGTATATATGCTAAGTATGGTAGAGTTTATAAGCGTGGGTTTTGTGCTTAACGTGCGTGAGAATTTTTGTTTAAGGTGCGTGGGTTTTGTGCTTAATGCGCGTGAGTTTGGGCTTAATGTGAGCCATTTTAAAATTTTAGGTGCATGAGTTCTGTGCTTAATGTGCTTTGTTATGTTTTTAATGTGCGTGGTTTATGTACTTAAAGTGAGTGATTTGTGTTCTTAAGGTGCTTTGTTTGTGTCCGTAAGGTGCATGCTGATTTGTGTACTTAAGGTGCGCCATTTTAATGCTTAAGGTGTGTCCAACCGTACAATCGCACGGGAAATCATTCCCGAACCTGAACCCTTCCCTATATATATATATATATATATATATATATATATATATATATTCTTTTCATTGGTCATTACCCCCTAGCTACCATGTGATTCTCCTTTGCTAATTTCAAAGATATAATGGATTACAAGACTTTTCAAGGGTGCCAATAGCCATCACTCTTCCTCTTCTGACCCCTATCTTTATTAAAGATATAATGGATTACCTCTTTTAAAGATCGAAAATTATAAATTTTGGTATTTGATAGACATATTAAATCACCAAGATTATGTGGTCTAATAGTATTCGAGTTGGGCTTTCATTTAAAAGGTTGTAAATTCGAACCTTAGTGGAGGTGTTATTGATTCTACATTGTAATAGAGCCAGTAGCATTCAAAAAAAGATATACATATTAGACCACTATTAATTTGGATTTGAGTTATTTTGGGACTATCTCTTTTTTAGTTATTTATTATCATTCATTATTCAAATTAACTTTTTTTAGTTTAATTTCTTTAAAATTTTAAAAATGAATTTTAACTTTATTATTGTTATTTTTAAATCAATAGAACTTCATGCATGTAAATCTTATTATCTACATATATAATGAACAATTTATACTTTTAGTCATCGACTATTGTATCAATGCCACATTTAATTTATTCATTTTCTTTTAATTTCGTCACATTATATCCTCAACTTTAATTTGCTTGTCACAATTAGCTAGTCATCTGTTTAAATTTGTATAATTTCCCCATTTAATAAGTATGGCTAATATATGATTTTATCATTCAAACCTCTTGCTCGAACATGTAATTTCTCTCCCTCTTCTATGAACTATATATTTTAATTGAATAATAAAATTACATGTTAAGCATATTTATTAAATGGTAGAATGACAAAAATTTAAAAAGGGATTAAATGCGACAAAGAAATGAAAATCAAGAATGTAATGTGACAAAATTAAAAAAATAGGATTAAATGTGGTAATATATACTACCATAGTGAAAGTTGAATATGCTCTATATCAATTTAATACTCTACTACTATGTTAAATATTATATAAAAAAAGTTTAATTGTAAACCATTTGAATTGATGAATCAAATACATAAAATGTATATAAAAAAGAATACTTAATTCATAAAGCTCAATCACGATACTATTCATTCTACTTCAACCACATATGTAATTGGTTCGAAATCTTAGATTTGATTATCAGTATTTGGTCCTTTGGTATCTGTTGCAGACCCCTTTTTTAAAATATCAATGCACAAATGATAAGGTACATTTTCACAGGTTTGTAAGCACGATGATTTAAAAAAAAAAACATATTATTGACTCTGGGTAATATTTGTTCTATATTTTTCTCTAACTGTTGTAGTCCAAAAAGTCGATATCCCACCATCCAGATTCAATCCTGTAACTTCCCCTCAATAAGAGCTACAAAAGTCTCATCTGAAGACAAGTGGCTTGTCAAGCACAATAATAATAATAATAATAATAATAATAATAATAATAATAATAATAATTATTATTATTATTATTATTATTTGGCTTACCATATAAACCGTAACCACTAGACTTGTGTGCACTAGATAAATCTCTTGTGTACACGGAGTAAATCTATTTCTTTATAATACTCTCTGTAAATCATACAAAAGGGATAAACAAAATAAAAACACCACTATTATTATTATTATTATTATTATTATTATTATTATTATTATTATTAGAGGGTATATTCCTGTTGTATATGTCATGAGGGTAGACGTTGAAGAATCAAGAGCATGCATCTGGACCATTAATTAATTAATTTGCAGATCCAATACAGAATTGCAACGTGAAAGCTAGTTACTTCTTAAACTGGTGCAAGAAACAGATTTCTGTAATTTTTTATATAAATAAGAAGTGTCCCTAAAACAGCAGACAGTTTTTATTGATGACATAAACTGTTTTTTTTTTTTTTTTTTTTTTTTAATTGTATGAATTTTGGGATTAAATTATTAACCAACACCCTTAAACTCGTGAATAATATATATAAACTAATAGCCTGGCAGTTAAATTTTATATTTTACGTGGCGACTGATGGGAGGTGTAACGTTGCAGTTGATCATATTTTAATCAACATTCTTTAATCATATTATTTATTAATTATTTATAATAATTTTTTTTTCTAATTTGTAAGCATCATGAAAAGTATGATACTTTCTACTACGTCTTAATTTATTTGTTTTATTTACTGCTTTGACTAGTGGGAATCCAACAAATTATGTGAGTGAGAGCGTACTTAACTCGAGATCTCACTTCTGAGAAAACATTACATCTTTCACAATTTTATCTGTAGAATTCATCACGATTTTAAAATATCAAACACATATAATATGGTTCAAATACATTATAAATTATAATACAATATTTATGATAGACTATAATATAGTTAAAGACGGAACCAAAACTATATATAGGTATGGTGAAATTTTAAACACTTTGAAATGTTATAAAAATATTTATGGCAAAATATAGAACATAATCGATTAGATAAAATAGTTTGAATAGAAAAGAGATTATTTTCATAAATACTTTATTTTTAATTTTCTTTTAATTAGATCAACTTTAAAATTTTTTAAATTAATTTGAATACGATGAAGTATAACATAAACTTGTTGACTACATTAAGTAAATGATTCACAAAAAAAGTAGACTTAAAAAAATATTTAATTTATTGAAAGTTGAGAAAATTAAAATAAAGAAAAGAAGCTAAAATATACACGCAAAAAAAAAAACTATAATTAAAAAAATACATTTAATTTATTAATGATTTGAAGAGGTAAAATGAAGATAAGAAACTAAAATATATGGAAATGCCATAGCTGGGTTTTAAACCCAAGGCATTTCATGTTGTATTTAAGATTCAACAAACTAAGCTATTGAACAATCTAGTGACTTGTACATGTACATATAATATATTGGGTGGGGTGGGTGGGGGGGGGGGGGAGGGAGGGGGTTGCAGCTGCCCCTACTGCCACCATTGTAGCTTCGCCACTAGTTTTGACAATTAATTTTATAACTAAAGTTTTAACTTATATTTCGATAGTTCTAAGTTAGATTTT